CATATCGATTACCGCAGTAGTAGAAGGGTCTGTCCTTCTTCGGGGTTAGGAGTTCTTGTTGGGTTCGGGCCCTTGATATGAGCATATCTATGTTGGGAGCTTTATATAAAGGTATAAAGCTTCAAGCTTTCTTACTCTTTTGAATTGTGCATCTTAATAGAGTATTTTAGGGTTTTGTCCCAAAAGTTGGAGACTTTATGAACTATTGAGCTTCAGAGACTTTGATCAACCCCTTTGAGTGTATTTAGTGGTGCAATGTCATAAAAATCAAAACTTGGACATTTGAATCAAGCCATGCATGAGATATGAGCATTTTGTGATAGAAGAGTGAGAGTTTTGTGTGTTTGTGACCTTATCAGCCATGCCAAGGCTTAACGTCACTAACTTTATGGAGTAAGAGTTATTAGGGAGTCCAAATCTGTGATATGAGCCAAGGTCTTAACGGATTAAGACCAAAAGAGTAGAAAGAGTAAATTTGGGAAGTACGCTGCGCGTAATTCCAGTACGCCCCGCGTACTGACCAATTGTCCTTGATGGCCAATCTGGATTCGTGAGTACACTGAGTGTACCAAGGGAGGTACGCCCCGCGTAACCTCACTGTGGACTTTTTGGGCTAAGTCTCATTTTGGGCCTTGAGTGTTGGGCTTGGAGTTTGGGCTTGTGGCAATAGAGTTTGGACTAGAGGATTATATATGTGCTTTGGGCCCTCGAGTTGGGCTTGCCATTTAGATTTGAGAGTTGGGCCTCGGGAGAACCCATTTATTATTGGGCCTTGGTGGGCCCATTAGGTTTTAGGTTATTGACGGGCTGGTTAGTGGACTACCTTTAGACCTAATTAGTGAGAGTTTGGACTTAGTTCCTAATTGGGTGAATTGTGGGTTTGGCTCAGAGATAGAGGCCGGTGCGCAGCAGCAACATTTATAGGGAATGCTCATCATCCGAGGTGAGTCTTCTCATTATACTTACCATGAGTGGTATCTTTGTGTAACTGTGATGTCTTATGTGCTTACCTGTATATTGTGATCTTTTGCGTTATGTCTTTGTGATTTATGCTGAGTATTATTATTATTATGAACTTATTGAGTGAGGACCAGAGGGTCCCACTAAGACACATTGACTGGAGGGTCTTATCTGAATATAACCATGAGAGGCTATTGAGATATGTGTGGTATTTTGGGGAAATCACTAAGCTTCGTGCTTACCGTGTTATGTGATATGTGTTTCAGGTTTCCTCATGATCGTGGGAAGGCACCGACTTGATTGTACACACCAGAACAAGAGTTATGTTTTGAGGATCCTGCATTATTAATCAAACAATTCTGAAGTTGCGTTTTGTAAATTAAATCAATGAGATTTTTGTGAAATATGTTACGAGAATTATGTGATTTTAAAATGAAATTTTTGTTTGAAAATTTACGATGTTACATTAATCGTAATACGTGTAAGTTGATCCGAACATCCTCGTTAGAATAAACCTTTGTTTCAAAACAACTAATTGTCAAAAATTCCCGCCGGTATGCAACTTTTTTCTTTTTTTGGATTCTCACTAAATCAACTCTAACTCAAAGATATGGGTAATAGAAAAGTATGAAAAAGCTTTATTTCGATAACTCTCCTTGAAGCAAATATCAATGTGATATGTGATGGTGGACCCATGACCGTCAGGATTAGCACAACTAATCTCTAAAAAATTAAAAGGAATCAATCCTAATCAACTCACAAAGTCTAATGGTAGGGTTTCATGGTTTTGGTTTGCATTAGACGTTTGGTATTTGTAGTCGTTGGTTTGTAACTCAAATGCAACGTGTCTTCCAATTACACAAATAATACTATTAATTATGTAAATCTAAAGAATACAAACAAAATAGACAAGAAAAAAAAAAAAAGAGAAGAAAAAAAGAAAAGGGCAAGTGTGTGTATATATAATACTATATGGTATATGGTATATATATATCATGTATTGGTTATATTAGAGGTGGGTTGGCCAGCAAGGTTTTCATTTGTTTTCATAAGTTATTCAATATAGAAAATGACATAAAACCCTAATATGTACATAATTTTATCCGTTTTATCTTTTTTTTTTTTTTTTTTTTTTTTTTTTTTTTCCCAAATTTACTTCATGACTTAATTCAATTTTCATATGCTTTTATATTTTTAGAGTGAAACTAGTAAAAAGATCTTAATTTTTTTTTTTCAGTTTTACTTTATATTTTTATGCAACTTTATTGATATTACTTAATTTACTATTTTTTTCTAGTAAATGTTATTGAATTTATTTGTTGACGCCATATACTACGATAACATCTTATAAAAGTAAATGATTTTTTAGGAGACTTATTATTCATTGGATTTGTATTATATGTCCATTTTTTGATGCCGGTTAAAATGACTAAAGAGTTCGAATTGGAGCAGAATTTTTTTTGGGTGGTAATGATGATAGAAAAAAAAAAAGATAGCTTGGTCCAAATGAGATTTAATTATGGAAAACATAATAGTGGTTCGGATTAGGGGTGTTTGCGGTACATTTTGGTGCGGTTTACACTCAAAACCGCAAACCGCACCGCATATACGGTTTGAGATTTTCGAAAACCACAAACCGCACTGCAAATGTTCTAAACCGCATTATGTGGTGTGGTTTTATGCGAGCGGTTTTGCGGTTTTTAAGAACATAAATACTAAATTAATTTAAGACTTGTAGAATATTCTCTATAATTATATTTTGTTTTGTATAATATTTTGTTTTGTCCTATACATTAAGAATTTTGCAAGATTATTTTTTAAAGCCTTAAAAATCACAACTTAGCTTATCAATATAGTATATCGTTGATAAAATTTGAATTATATTAAATATAGTTATTTTAAAAACTCGCGATTGATATCAGGTAATATAAACACAATCAAGTATATGTAATGTTGTGTACTTTGACTCATTTGTTTATTACTAGTAAATTTTTAGAGTTAAAAACATTCATAAACTAACCTTGCTAAGCATGTGTACTCTTGTGTGCTTTGACTCGTTTGTGTAGTACTAATAATTATTTATCGTTAAAAGCATCGATAAACTAACGTTGCTAAGTATAATTAAAGTTAAAATCATGTAATATATATATATATATATATATATATATATATATATATATATATATATATATATATATATATATATATATATATATATATATATAATGCGGTGCGGTGCGGTTTGAACCGCGGTTGTGTAACTATAAACCGCAAACTGCTTCGCATATAGTGCGGTTTACAAAAATTACAAACCGCAAACCAAACCGTGAACGTTCAAAACTGCATTATGTGGTATGGTTAGGTGCGGTGTGGGCGGTTTGTACGGTATATTGCACACCCCTAGTTTGGATATTGCAGAGTCTTATGGCTTTTAGTCTTTCATTGGTTAACAAAATGAAGGTGACGTTTCTTTTGACTAATAGTAATTTGATTTGTGTGCAACTTATAAAAATATTTAGGGTATTAGAGGTGGGTTAGAGTTTTTGGCCTCTAACTTTGTAGTGATGGTCATTAATCAAAAATTATTGTGCACTCGACTAAATTAGAGGATAAGAAAGTGTTATTGCCTTTGGCGATAAAGAAAAAAAAATGGGTGATGGTGCTTAGACTAGATTTTGGACTGAAGTGTGGGTTGGAGATCATCTTCTTTCTAGTTTATTTCCAAGGTTGTTTGAGTTAGAAAACATAAAAGATTGTGTTATTTTCTGATCGATTGATAGGTCATGAAAAATGTTGGGTTGACGAAGACCAACTAGAGGAGAGGAAGCTTTGCAATTCTCTAATCATGTGATATGTTACATGGTATCAAGCTTAGTAATGAAAAAGATAAATAGTGGTGGGATATTTGTAACTTTAGAACTTTTTCAGTGGGAGAAACTAGAAGATAGATCGATGATAAAAATTCCCCTGTTATTCAATCTCAAACTCGTTGGAATCGGTATATTCCTAGGAACGTAAACATTCTTAGACAAAATTTCACGATTGGTCCCTGTGGTTTACACAATATCGCACTTTGAAGATTTTCTAGCAAAAAGTCACGTGAATGGTCCTTAAGGTTTCATTTAATTGTGCGATTGGTCCTTGACCCTAACCCCGTCACTTTTGAACCGTTAGTGAAGGGGTAAATTTGTCTTTTCATCTTGCAGTCACTCTAATAATCGATCATTATGCACATAATATACGCATAAACTCTGCAATTAAGTACAAAGATCATCTTCCCCAGCTACCCATTACCTTTTCGCATTCATCTTCGTCTTATCCAACACAATACAAGGCGAGGATCATCTGCTGATTGAAAACGATAATGCTGTTAACGTTATGGTCACTTCGTTCCAAACACACGAAAGCATCAAATTATGATTTGGAAATGATATACCGTAAGTGACTTACTAAAGTGATCTTTGATTTTGTCGATTTGATATTATGCGTTGAAATTTTTTTTGTTATTCTTTTTTTCAGAGGGAATAAGCAACTATTTCACTCTGAAAATCCATCATGGTGGGATATTCACGCAAAGCCCTGGGAGAAGGTACGTAGATGGAACAATAGACTATGTTGACTTCGTAGATATTGACGTTTTCTCTGTGCATGAGTTGGATACAATGGTTCGAGAAATAGGGTACGTAGAAGGGCAAACTTTGTATTATCCTTTTCTTATTCCAGAAGTAGAGTTGGACTTTGGTCTGTTACCTCTAGTAAATGATGGGGATGTGCATGTATTGTCAAATTATGTGGAAAAAAATAACCTTTTAAGTATCTATATAGAGCATGGGCTTACAAGGGTTAATAGTTATTTTTTGTCCCCCACCAAGGTTATTATTGAGGAGTTGGTCACTAATGTATCCCTTGAACTAGATATGAACCAAAAGAAGGGAAAATTTGTTGGATCTTCTAGGAAAAAATTAGACTACTCCCAGTCCATTGTGCCATATGGAACATTTGATGGACCTTCACAAGTAATACAGGATAGTGAGCCAGTTATGGATGATGAGCCAGTTATGACTGATGAGCCAGTTTTGAATGATGTGCCATTTATGAATGATGTGCCAGTTATGAATGATGTGCCAATCATAGATGATCAATATGATGAGCCATTTATGAATAATGATCCAGTTGTAGATGATCAATATGATTGTGAGGATACTGCAGATGAAAGTGAATTTGATAGTCAACATGATGCAAAAAAATAGTGTTTGATGAGGAACCTTTGATAGATGATGTGGAAGTGAGCACAATCAAATTTTGTAGTGTACTTGATGAAGACATTAACTTGGGCCAGCTTGATCTGAAAAACAATAATACAGAGGAACATGAAGACATTGAAGATGAACCTTTAGAAGTCTTAGACAATGATGTCTTTGGGTCATTTGCTAGTGAAAAAGAGCCTAGAAAGAAATTGTTAAGGTCCATTCTAAAACCAGTTGCTTGTTCATCTGGTAAGGTTCACACTAAAGCTTTTAGGATTGGTCAGATGTTCAAGGAAAGGGAAAAAATAAGAGAAGTTATTTCCAACTACTCTGTACAAGAAAGGAGGGATCTACATTATGTAAAGAATGACAAGACAATAGTTAGGGTAAAGTGTAGGGGTATTGTTCCTGAATTGACTGGTGATAGTAATAAAGGTAGGGGTAATTTAGTACTTTCCAAGAAAACAACGTGTCCATGGGTTCTTTTTATATCTAGGGCAGATGAGAAACAATTTTGGACTGTCAAAACATACGAAGATTGTCATTCTTGTTTGCAAACAAGGACATTGAGGGCATGTTCATCTAAGTTTCTAGCTAACAACATATTGCATCAAGTTGAAAGTAACCCCAAGATCCCTACACATTGTCACAACTAGAAAATTTTGTGCCTTGTAACTACAACACTTATGTCAACTATGAATCAAAAACATGAAAGCATGCATTATGCTTACTCTATGACAACAGAATTTCAATCAAACACCTCATACAAGCATTGCAAATAGTCAACAAGCAACTGGAAACCCTAAAAGCTCTTGTTTAGGTCCATTTTGGACTAGGACTTCCTTATTGGGCCCAATGGACCAATAAGCTTCCAATTTGACTATCTTGGGCTTAGAACTCTTAAATTGGCTCTAATTGAACCCACTCCCAATTATTTCAATATTTTGGGCCATATTGGGCCTAGAATGAAATAAATTTTTTAAATGAACCATATTGGGCCATAATTAATCTAATTTAGCCTTAATAGGTCATAAAAATCACATTTATAATTAATTGGGGCCAAACATCACTTAACATAACCATGAAATGGGCTTAAGCATACAAGGCCCAATCCTCATCTTTTTCTCTCCAAATCTCGGCCCAAGCCCAACCAAAGAAGGAGAGTTGACTTTCCCATGCCACCTCACATTTGTCCATAGGATTCCCATGCACCATCTCATGTCTTCTCTTCTCTCTCTCTCTTGCTCTCGGTCGAATCCAAGCACACACACACACATTTCACTCACAATTCTCTCAAGAAACTCTCTCATTTCTTCTCCATATTTTCGAGATCTAAGAGGTGTTTAAGGGATTTCTTCCATAAAAATCATCATTTAAGGTAAGATATTGCTTAGATCCATAAGCTAGCTATTTCATTTCAATCAAGAATCATCACTTAATTCATTCAAACTTATGATCTAGCACCTTGGAAGCATCCAAGTTCGAGATCCTCAAAGAAAGGTTGCTAGGATCGAATTCTTCTCATCTTTTCCTTCCAAAACTGAAACCACACCCAAGGTGAGTTTCATACCCCTTTCTTTTCGGTTTTATGAGTTTTTATGGGGGAGAATACAAGTAAATGTGTAGATCTATGTGTAAATGTATGCTATGTGTGATTTGATGCATGTTTGTGTGTGATATCATGTGTTATGATGAAAAAGTTATCCTAAAAGTATGTAAAAACCGAGATCTAGAACCTAGGGAAGGAAATAAACATAACATAAACTATTTTACCCTAATCAAGTCAAGAAAAATAACTCATATGGTTCGGATGAACATGCTTGGACATAAAACCCATTTTTGGGCTTAAATTGCTAAAAATGCAAAACTAAGGGCCCAAACCGACAAGTTATAGTTTTTGGAGGTTCAAAAGAGTCCAAACAGTTTCTATAATATTTTTTCTGAAACAAAACATTTTTGAAGGACTAAAAATGTAAATTTTACACTTAATGGGCTAAACTTGGGCTTTTCAGCCCAAAAAGCTTCAATATGCGAGATTTTTAAGTTTGAGGGGCTGAAAAAGAAGTTTTTTGTAAAGCAGGGGATTTAAAGTGTATTAAAACCATTTCAAAGGTCAAAAATGTTTTTCAAATTCAAAAAGGATCAAAAATGTAAAAATTTCCTATTTTGGGCCAAATTTGTAAAAGTTGCAAAAGTGGGGGTTCTAACCGAGAAAACTTCATTTTTGAAGGACTTAAGTTGTTTATAAAGTAAATCTGGGCTGAAAATGTCTTTTCAATAAGTTTTGATACTAAAGTGTCAAGAAAAATTGGTTTAAGGACTAAAATGGAAATTCTTTTATATAAAGGACTAAAAGTGTTAACTTTATAAAAGAAGGGTTGTGAAAAGGTAAAATTCTTACTTTAAAACAAAAAAATCCCTTAAGACAGAATACGAGATCCACGACTACCGGTGAATCGTAATAACAATACACTTTCAACACCAATATCGTTATCAAACGAATTGATTCGGTCTCGAAGCAATAACAAAACCAAAAATCAATAAATCGTAGTACTTCAATAAACACGCGATAACTACAAGGAGTCAATATTCAATCTTTGGGCTTGAAAGTCTCGAATCGTGCTTGTTGGGCCTTGCTAGCCCAATAACATGATCTTTGGGCCCGAAGGGAACGCGCTTACATGTTAATGGGCCTTCTATGACCCAATTACATGTAAAAGGACTTCCGATAGCACTATTGTGCTGTTGGGCCCTAAGGGTCCATTAGTACTGCTAGCGAAGTCAAGAAGTCAAATGCGAGTCAGGCCAAGTGCCTTTCGCATTCCCGATAGCCTTGAATGACTTATGGAAATAAAGGAGGCTTCTTACCCTCCTTTCTCCTCGGTTGTGGGGCTATAAGAAACTGAGTAAGCAGATTCGTGTCATTAAACAAGAGAAGTCAGGGTGGTTGGATTATGTGAGTAGTATGGACGACGCCTCAAGGATCGTTCATAATTTGTAGTTATAAACTAGTCATTTTCAATAATGCGTGATTGTAACAACTCACAACCCTTAGTTAATCCAATGTCACCTGGGTAATCAAAAACAATCGTCGTAACGGTATAACAATAAACAAGACATGTAATTTTATGTATTGGGAAAACATCGGGTTTTCCCGGGGCGTTCAACATTTTAACTTATGTGAAGTATACAAAGTTCAACAATCATTCATGTTTTCAAAATCGACAAGCATATTTACGGATCTTTCACACCTTTTTATAAACAATACCCTTTTCAAAAAATATCGGATTTTCTGGGTTTTCAAACTTCACAAAAATCATTTTCTATAACATTACTTATGAACTCACCAACATTTCATATGTTGACCATTTTCAAAATAACTTGTATTCTCAGGTAACAGGTAAACAGAAGAAAATGTATCAAGTTATATCATGGTGTTTTGCTTAGATTAATGATCGAAAGGTTTATGTTATGGAATTGTAATGTTTAAAACAATGTACTGAATGTAAACAATATCAGTTGTAATATTTCAATGCATGGTGATGAATGATGTTACGATTCATGTATAATCATTGTGATGGTATTCAATTAAGTCACAACAGCCCCCGGATGTTTCCGCCGTCTGGTTCGGGGGTGTGACACACATGCTTTACAGGAGGACTTAGTACAAAGGTATTCACTTTCAATATCAAGGATGAAAGTATTTCGGGCCAAAGCTATGGCAAAGCAATATGTTTATGGTGATTATGAAAAGCAGTATGGTGTTTTGAGAGAATATGCCATGGAATTGAAGGTAAAGAATCCAGGAACAACTGTGAAGATAGATGTCAAAATTGAACTCAATTTGTGTTCTGAAACAAGGATCTTCAAACGAATATATATATATATATATATATATATATATATATATATATATATATATATATATATATATATATATGCTTAGGTCCATTGAAGGAGGGATAAAAAAGGTTTGAGGGATTTTCTTGGATTTGATGGTACGTTTTTGAAGGGTCCCTTTCCAGGACAAATTCTTACTACAGTTGGGCTTTATTCGAACAATGACATTTACCCAGTTGCATATGCTATTGTAGAGGCTGAAAATATTAACTCTTGGACATGGTTTTTGGAACACTTCGGTGATGACTTAGATTTGAATTCTTCATCTAACTTCACTTTCATTTCAGATCGGCAAAAGGTACCCTCTAACTTCAACAACTTTTACATTATTTTTCATTTACTAACTTATTTTAATTGTACTCACATGGAATCTTGGTTGTAATAGAGAATTTGTTTCCATCAGCTGAGCAAAGGTTCTGTTTAAGACATGTGTATGACAACATGAAATTGAAACACAAAAGAGATGAATTGAGGGAAGCAGTATGGTGTTGTGGAAACGTATACAACATACCAAAATTTAATAGGGCTATGGAGAAACTGAAAAAGCTTAACCCATAAGCACATGAGTGGTTAGGTAAAATTCCTGCAAAACACTGGGCAAGATCCCATTTCTCTGGTAAGTATCATACTCTTTTCACTAACATATTTCATAACTGATTTTAGTAATTAATTGTTTGGTTTTATATATAGGAAGGGCATTGACTGATAGTTTGACAAATAACTTGTGTGATGTATTTAACTCCAATTAGATGAGGCAAGGGACAATCCTATAATCACTTGTTTGGAATACATTAGAGAATACCTGACAAAGAGAATAGTAAATGTTCATAAGGTGCTAGACAAATGAAAAGGTTCTCTAAGTACAACCGCAACAAAAATCTTAGAAAACAATATGATAGAGGCAAATAAGATGAGGGTTCTATTTAATGGAGCTGATAAATATCAAGTGACTGGTCTATGGATGGAGCAGTATGTTGTAAACTTGAAAGAGAGGAGTTGCACTTGCAGGAAATGGGACATTACAGGTATTCCATACCAGCATGCTATTGTTGCAATGTATGATAAGATGCAGAATGGGTCAGAATGTGGAGATCCCGAGGCTTGGGTGAGCAAATGTTACTGGCTTAGTACATGGAATGCTATGTACCAACATACAATTGACCCAATAAATGGAAGGAGCATGTGGCCTAGATCTGATTGTCCAACAACCCTTCTCCCACCCAAACATCACAAACAGGTTTGTTGTATACATGTTTTGTATAATTTAACTTGAAACTATTTAATAAACTTGTTAATATATAACCATATAAATTTGTTTATAGGTTGGCAGGCCAAAGAAAAAAAGGAAGAGGGCAGTTGATGAGCCAACTCAAAGTACCAAGTTAAGTAGGAAACACTTGACAGTCACTTGCAGCAAATGCCACAACAAAGGTCACAATGCAAGGACTTGCAAGGGGCAGAGAGGTCCTAGTAAAGCTGGAAAGGAAAGTGAACAGAATAAGGGAAAACATGTTGTAGCTTAGTTTGTAGTTCTAAGTAATCTTTTGCTATTATGTCTAATTAAAGTTAGAACATGTTTACTACGTTTGGTTATGGTATGTCAGTCAAAACAACTACTTTTTATAGGTCTTTTGGGTATTCTATGTTTGTAACATGATATTGCACTTACACGCATTATGGTTAATGGTAATGCTACTTTGATAATTAGTTTTTTGGCTATGTTACTGCACTTTAATAATCAACATTACACTTACATGCAATCAAATTGACAATTTCCTTCCTTGCTAATATAATATCCATCACATTAAAACAAAACATCAAACTTACATTACATATTATATCTGTTACATTTTCTTGTCCTAACATTACAATCATAGGGAAAATCCTTCAAACGCTATAACAAAAATGGGACCAAAACACAGATTCCAAGTCACAAATCCCCCCCCCCCCAAATGCTTCTTGATTTTTTACTTGAAAAGGTAACACGCCATGAAAAACAACCAACTCAGACAAAGTAACCATTTCACCATCATCAATCTTGCTTCGAGATTGTTTCTTCCACGCAACAACCTCGGAATCACAATAGTTGACCTAGGGCACATGGGAGGGTCAAACCATCCAAAAAAGATGCATGTTCCTCCTAACCTTGACCATGACCAGAATCGATGACCTGGGTTCAAATCAGTCTACGGTGTCACCAAAATCGCCGGCCTTCCACAGTGGCATATCACCATCTTCTTCAATTTTGGAATAGAATGTGCGTGGGGAGGGAAGAACAGAGGCAAGGAATGAGAAGTAGAAGGATACAAAGGCGGGCCTTACATTATATGCTCTGATGCACAACAAGATGAAAAGACAAATTTACCCCTTCAATAACGGTTCAAAAGTGACGGGGTTAGGGTCAAGGACCAGTCGCGCGATTAAATGAAACCTTAAGGACCACTCGCGTGACTTTTTGCTAGAAAGTCCTCAAAGTGCGATATTGTGTAAACCACAGGGACCAATCGTGAAATTTTGTCATATTCTTATTTGGCTATTTTATTGGATAAAATCCCCACTACTTGGAATCTTTATCAAAGAGGAATTGATATTCCTTCTACCTTATGCTTGATCAAAGAGGAATTGATATTCCTACTTGGAATAGAGGAATTTGTTGTTTGGAGATAGGCCTAACCCATGGGGGTGGGCAAGCTGGGCGACCGCCCACGACCCATCGTTGGATTGGGGCCCTAAAAAGATGTACATTAATAAGTATATATAAGTAGTGCTATATTTTAAACAAACATGATCATAGATTAACTGGAAAAGGCGCTACCTGCTCTGTGGTGGCATGTCCCGAGTTCAATTCTTGTAGTTAATGTATCTTTTTGAATTTACATTAAATGGTTACAGTAATATATACATATATATATATATATATATATATATATATATATATATATATATATATATATATATATAGAGAGAGAGAGAGAGAGAGAGAGAGAGAGAGAGCTATGTTCAAATGTTTCTAGCAACTATTGTGTACCTAAATGCACCAATGAGAATTCAATAAATAATAAATAATTAAATAAATCATTTAAGGGTATTTTGGACATTTTGTACTTTTATTTAAGGAAATCATTTAATTGAAATCCTATAATTAAGGAAATAAAATAAATATATTTGACCTAGTCATTTAATTGAAATTCTGTCAACCGTTGCCCTACTACCATCTCGTGTCGTCACCTCCCTCCAGACCCACTTTCGTCGCCTCCTCTAACTTGCTCAACAGTTGTAGCCGCCTCCGACTTCTTCCACTGCATCACCAACACCGTCCATTACTATTGTGATGCCGCTTTGAGAAGTCCTCCACCTCCCTTGACTTCGTCCAGCAGCAAGAGGCCCCACCACCGCCGCCTGTCATTATCATTAAACGCCCCACCACCACCACCGCCCGCCGGCTGTTTCTATTCTGCCACCTCCAGCCACCCATTTCGGTTTAAGGTAACCTCACATACCTCTATTTGCTTCATGTATACGTCGTCGATCAATAGAAAACTAAAACGATTTTACTTTGTTACTCATCGTGCATAGAGGTCGATACAGGAAGAAAGTCTCCTCATGTTTATCAATTGTTTATCAATTGAAGCAAACTCCCAATTCAAAATAAATTTGTTTAACCCAATTTCAAAATCTATTACAAATCTAGTCCCTAACTCAATAAACTTCATTTAATTTGTGCAAAACAAACCATCTCCTACAAATGATTTTTATATTGGTCCTAATAGCCTAAACTAATAATTTTTTTTTTTTTTTTTTTTTTTTTTTTATTTTTTTTTTTTACATTTAACCCTCCTTGTGATTTATTTGCAAAATAATTTCAACTCTATTACAACTCTTGAATTATGTATTCAATCACAACTCTTGAATTCTATAACTTATTCTATTAGAATTTAGTTATATAATTGTATTATGTTAGTATGTTTGAGAATGATTGTTAACAACAAATATATTTGTCTAACTGGTAATGAATCTGTGATACTTTATGGTTGACTTTATAGTTTCTACTACATTCTGTTAGAATTTATATTTTTTATTTTCTAATATATTCTATCAAACTTTATAGTCTTTAATATATTCTCTTATAATTTATAGTTTTTATTCTCTTATAATGCATTGAATTTTTTAATTTTTGAAACTTGATTATGTTTTATTTGTGGATTTAGGTTTTGAACAGGCTAACATTGATGTGGAGAAGAAAGAAAACATAGAGAAAGAAAGTGTATTATACTAGAATATGTTATGCTACAATGTATAAAGTGTTGTTTAACTATAATATTCTTTCAGAATAGATTAGTGTTTTTCTTAGATTTTAATGTTTTTTTTTTCTTTCAAAATGTTGTTATTATTCAATGAATCACAAACATAAAATGTAATTATTTGGTATATTATTAGTTCAATAATTGATTTTATTTATTATTTTCAGAATGTATTTACTAGTTTATGGTTGACATTCTATCATTCTAACAGAATAAAATCGAAAAATATGTTTACTAGTTTATGGTTAACATTCTATCATTCTGACATAATAAAATCGGATTTTTAATTTTGAATTAATTTAAAATATTCAGATTTTAAAAAATAAAAGAATTAATTGTCCCTAAAAATCCAAAAATTTCCTTTTTTAATATAAGTTAATTGACTAAAATGCCCTTATGCTGAAATTTGTTTGATTATATGGTACATGTTATCTTATTTTACTATCATAAACCCTCAGATCATTACATTTGATTATATTCCATCCAATGGTCCAAATCTGTGCATTCTGACACACAATAGTTACTAGAAACAAAAAAACCCAACCCTATATATATATATATATATATATATATATATATATATATATATATATATATATATATATATATATATATATATATATATATATATATATTGAACCTTAAATGGGCTGCCCAAATATTGGTTTACCTACATATTTAATGACAATTAGTTTAGACTTATATTATTTAAATTATTTTTTAATATCACACAAAATTCTAATTATAATTTTTCAAGTCTATTTATTTTCTTATGAAAGAAAAGTTAGTTATTTATCCATTTTTTTTTTATAAAACTCATACTCACCAAAAATTTATAAAATGAGTTTTATTCAAGAGGGCCAATTTTAGAACTTGACAATAGTTTATTTAAAAAAAATTAGTTTATATTTAATTATTATTTTTTTTAACCAAAAAATATAATTCGCTTCTAAACTATTTTTAATTTTATCTATTTTTCAAATAAGACGTAAACCCTCTATCTCAAAAAAGAAAGAAAAACATTTGATACGGTTGCACTAGAAAGAATTTGTTTTTCGAAGGGCTCCATTTTTGTTTTTGCCCCGGGTCCAAAATATCCTTGGATCGACTCTGTTTGGAGAATGGGCAACTTGACATTTTTGTATGTTAGATGTGAAATGGTTGTTAGAACCTGGAATGCAATTTTAAATGGTTAGATATGAATTTCGTTGCTTTCAATTCCATGGATGATATCTTTTTGGGGATTGACTATTTTCTATGGGGTGAAAAAAAAAGAATATTATTGACACTGTAAGTTGTGTTACAGTGTAGTATTTATGGAAGTTTAGAAATGATAAAGTTTTTAACATGAGAAACTTAGAAACGATATAATTTTTGATTTCTTTTTTTTAAAATGAGAAACTTAGAAAAGATATAATTTTTGATTCCGTAAGGCTGGAGGGAATGAATTTGATCATGTCATGTTGTCACATCATTTTTGAAGCCACAAACATACAACATAAATGAAATACTATTTACTTAGAATGCTACTGTTGGGAACGGTGTATGACATGGTTGCCGATCAATATGCCAACCATTCCCCAAAACCTAAAATAATTATTTTCTCTTTGGTATTCAAATAGAAATACTAAGTGTCATTAAATGGTTATAAAATTCTCTAAACAATTTTAATTGGTTTTTCTTCTTGCTTTGTGCTAATTTATTGTTTTAAATATATTGTTGGTTGCGTGTTTCAAAAAAAAAAAATATCAACCTCTTCAATCTAATATGTATATTCATATACACATATATACATATAAATTGAAAATCTCCAAAATTATAAATATAAATGATAAAGAATACTTATGTAACATGCCTCTAAAAAATAAATAAAATTCAAAAACATTTAAAACATATCACGTCCAAATAAAAAGTCAAAGAGAGAGAGAGATGAATCGAGGAGCGTGATTCCAGAAATTTGCTGGGTCGCGTGTTCTGTGGATCCCACCATCTACGTATTTTTCTGCTTTTTATTTATTTATTTTATATTAAAATTAAATATAAAAAACATTTAAAACAAAAATTAGAATTTTTATTTCTCAACCTCCATCCATCATCTTCTCCATGTTTGCGTAACCACCACCGCACCGTTCAATTATTTCTCCCCCATCACCTTTCCCTATGCCATACCACTTCTTCAATCAGTTACTTTCCTTCTCTCTCTATACTTCCATAACTTTCTCTCTCTCTAGAAATCTCCATTGTATTAGATTATACGCTTCTATCAGATCGCTCATCGTTTCGAGGTATGGTATCTCCGTTTCTGAATTTCTCTTCTGTTTTTCGATTTCTTCTTGTTGCTGTAGTGGTAGTGATGGTGGTTCGTGTATTGAAGTGGTTCGAGTAATGATTTTCGTGTTTTGTAGCTTGTGATTTTGTAGGATACAGCAAGTTTTCTTGATATCTGAGGTAGTTTTTGAGTGCTATTCTGTTGATCGACGGGTTCATTGGTTCCTCTTTCACGGATTTTGATTTTCTAATGCTTGATATGTGTTTTCGCGTGTTCATGAAATGTTGCATTTTTTGTAATTTCGATTCCTCATTCTTTTAGGATGCTGTGTGGTTTTCGGTTCTATGATTTGCTGTTTGGGTAGGGATCTGGTTTCTGATTTACCTTCCAGCAGTCTCCGATCACGCTATTTCCCCACACCGTGTTCATTTTGCCGACATTATACATTCTGTGGTCAATGGCAACTTGCTCTATGGTCAGAAGGAGAGTTTGATTTTTTCTGTACTATGACGCGTTGGCTCTTGGCTGGATTTTGTCATACAATAAATACTATATAGTTTAGTTTTTCATGAGTATATACCTACTTGAAGAAACCGCTTACAACAGACTTTTTTTGTAATCGTGGTGATCTAGTACCCCTGAGTTATGACTTTTAGGTTCAGAATTGTGCATATATACAAAAATCATCACTATTCGACCTTCAAATTCTGAAATATCTGTTTGGAATCTTATGTTACTGCCCTATGTGCATAAACTGCTCTATGCAATAAAGACATTGATTTTAGCATTGGCAAGGAATTTCAATTCAGAATCTAACTGATTTTCCCATTATTGTATTGTAGATCCGATTGACTGAGTACTTTTTTTCTGAAAGATGTTGGGAGGAAGCAACACCAATTCATTAGTCCCTATCTTCCTTGATGAGAACCTCTTCCAGTATCCTTCAAACCAATTGCAGCTATTTGGAAATGGTGAGTTTCCATCATTCTAACTTTCTAACACAAAGATTAATGAATCACTCTTTACCCTGTTTATCTGATCTTGTTTTTACATATTCTTTTGCTATGACAGTTCCATCCACACATCATGTTGATCCAGTAAATTATTCTGGTAGAGAGCATAATAGCCCTGCCTTTCGGTCCAATAAACGATCAAGAGAAGTTGAGAGTAATTTAATGCAGAAAAAGCTTCAGATATCATCAAACCAGAATTTTTATAATGAAGAATGTAATCGCCCATCAAGCATTCCAAACCCACATACTGTATCCACCGGTTTAAAATTATCATATGATGATGAGGAAAGAAACTCCTCAATCACTTCAGCAAGTGGAAGCATGACTGGAGCAGCACCACTTATGTCTTCTTTTGGTGATAGTTTCACAACTGAACTTGATCGACAGAATGAAGAACTTGAAAGATACATTATGCTTCAGGTACTAATTTGATTCTCTATTTATCACTTTAATCTCATTTGGGCTTCTATTTATAACTTTGAAATACTGATATTCAACAGGGAGAAAATATGGTGAAAGGGGTGAAGGACATACGACAGAGACACATGGCTTCATTCCTAACTTCCATTAGTAAAGGAATAGACAAAAAGATACACGAAAAAGATGTTGAGATCGAAGCCATAAACCGTAAAAATAAGGATCTTGTGGAAAGAATAAAACAGGTGGCAAACGAAGCCCAAAATTGGCACTACAGAGCAAAATACAACGAATCAATAGCCAATATGTTGAGAGCAAATCTTCAGCAAGCATTAGCACAAGGAAACGAGCAACAAATAAAAGAAGGATTTGGTGATAATACGGATCTTGAAAATGATGCTGTGTCTTCTGTAGATCCAAATAATTATCTTGGAAAGTTTGATAATCATAATCATAATGGTGTTATGATATGCAGAGCGTGTAAGGTGAAGGAGGTGTGTATTCTTGTGATGCCATGTAGGCATTTGAGTTTGTGTAAAGATTGTGATAGTAGAGGTGTCAATGTTTGTCCTGTATGCCAAGTTGTGAAAAGTGTTGGTGTTGAAGTGTACATGTCCTGATTAAAATATATCATCGACATTCAAACTAGGTTAGGCTTTGTGTTGTGGTGTCGAATGTCGATGATGAAAGTTTAATTTGTGAAATCAAGGAATTGGTTACTTGTATATTCTATAAGTATATGATGAGATTATGCAACCTTGATGTTTGGGGGTGCTTGATGCTTTAAGAAACATATTATCTTCATGAGAAAGCAAAGGTCCTTCTCAAACCTTAAAAGACGTGTTTTCTTTTTCTAAACTCATTTTCCTTTCATTGCGAATTAGATAGATATGTTAAATCCACATAAATAATTTTTTTTAGACAAAATTATAAAAATGGTCCCTACGGTTTGCCAAAAATCACAAAGTCAGTCCCTGCTAATTTTTTTTTGACAAACATGGTCTCTGTGGTTTCCAAAACTTGCATCAATGGCCCTTTTTGTTGACGCCGTTACTGTTTATCCGTTAGTGTAAGGGTATTTTGGTGTTTTCAAGTAGCAGGGATTGAGTTTGTGATTATGGGTAAACCATAGGGACCATTTATGTATTTTTTTTCTATATTTTATGTTTATGAGTTTGTGACTTTTCCACCCATTTACTTTTTAAAATATCACTTTGAACCCTTCACTTTGAACTTTGAAAAATGTTACTTTCACCTCCCTATTTTCTAAATTTTCGTGTTTAACCTCGTATTATATATAATTTGTTTTTTATTAATAACTTTTGTTCGCTAACCTAAAAAAACTATTGTTACGTGTTTATTTTCATATATTTGTCGGTATAATTCAAGGTGATTAACGTTTCGACTATAATTTAGAACTTTCTTTCGTTATGTTTTTTTTAAAGTTACATGGTTTTTTTTATAAAATTGTCGGTTTAAATTCGAGTTTATTTTTCGACGTAGTTTTTTTTTTTTTTTTTTTTTTTTTTTTTTTTTTTAACTTTATGTACGTTTCCTATTTATGAGACGGGTCATATATAATAACTTTCGTTTGTTAATTTTAAAAATATATTATATTCGAGATTGTCTATGTTTTGATGTATTTTGTATACATTTTGTGCTTAATTTTATATACATTCCTACGCATCATTTGGGTCAGATATAATAACTTTCGTTTGTTAACTTAAAAAAATATAGTATATTTGAGTTTGTCTATGTTTCGACCTAACTTTTGTTTCATGTTTTTTCCGTATCAATATAGATTCGAGTTCGTCTATATTTCGATGTAATTTTTTTTTATGTTTCGTGCTTATTTTTATGTACGTGTTTTTTTCATTAATGTTTTTTTACGTCGAAATGCAACTTTTATGACTATAATCACCAAAATTCAAGCTTATAATTACGATTTTATCTATTATATGTGAACAAACTTATACGTAGAGATATACATAAAATAAGCACCAAACGTGTTGCGAAACATATTTTTTTAACGTTTTCGTTCTTTATTTTCTGTACGTTTCCTACTTATGATTAGGGTCACATATTATATATTTTTTATTATTTAAACTTTCGTTCGTTAACTTAAAAAAATCTTACTTATTTTTATGCACGTGCTGATATGTGAGTTTTTCTTTTTCTTTATTTTTTATGTTTTGATTTAATATTTTTTGTACGTTTTGGTGCTTATTTTATGTATGTTCCTACGTATAAATTTGTTCACATATAATAGATAAAAGCGTAATTATAAGCTTAAATTTCGTAAGTTGAATTTTGGTGATTATAATCATAAAAGTTGCATTTCAACGTAAAAAAAAACATGAATGAAAAAAACACGTACATAAAAATAAGCACGAAACATAAAAAAATTACGTCGAAATATAGACGAACTCGAATCTATATTGATACGTAAAAAACATGAAACAAAAGTTAGGTCGAAACATAGACAAACTCGAATATACTACATTTTTTTAAGCTAACAAACGAAAGTTATTATATATGACCCGAATGACACTTAGGAATGTATATAAAATTAAGCACAAAATGTATAAAAAATACATCAAAACATAGACAATCTCGAATATAATATATATTTTTTTTAAATTAACAAACGAAAGTTATTATATATGACCCGTCTCATACATAGGAAACGTACATAAAGTTAAAAAAAAACTACGTCGAATTATAAGCTCGAATTTAAACCGACAATTTTATAAAAAAAAACATGTAACTTTAAAAAAAATAACGAAAGAAAGTTCTAAATTATAATCGAAACGTTGATCACCTTGAATTATACCGACAAATATATGAAAATAAACACGTAAAAATAGTTTTTTAGGTTAGCGAACAAAAGTTATTAATAAAAAACAAATTATATATAATACGGGGTTAAACACGAAAATTTAGAAAACAGAGGAGTGAAAGTAATATTTTTCAAAGTTCAAAGTGAAGGGTTCAAAGTGATATTTTAAAAAGTAAATGGGTGGAAAAGTCACAAACTCATAAACATATAATATATCAAAAAAATACATAAATGGTCCCTATGGTTTACCCATAGTCACAAACTCAGTCCTTGCTACTTGAAAAGACCAAAATACCCTTACACTAACGGATGAACAGTAACGGTGTCAGCAAAAAGGGTCATTGATGCAAGTTTTGGAAACCACAGGGACTATGTTCATCAAAAAAAAATTAGTAAGGATTGACTTTGTGATTTTTAGCAAACCATAGGGACCATTTTTGTAATTTTGTCTTTTTTTTTTTTTTTTTTTTTTTATATATATAATGAAGCAAGACGAAAGTACTACTAAGCATACAACATAAAAGAAAGTTAAATATTTACACATTGTTTTAACCTAATTTAAAAAACTCTTTGCTTTCACAAAATTAACCGATCACCAGGATCTAATAGCTCCAAAAATCTCGAAATCGCAACAACACAATTCTTTCTTTTGCGCGGGAATTACTTAATAGTTAATTCTATCGTCAAAAGATTTCCGTTAGGTTTTTGCGTATCTTTTCATAAACAAAATACAAACTCGTTGTTTTTGTTGCGAGATTTAAGGAACCTCAAATTCTATTGATTGCTCTCAGTTTCCTTTTTTTGAATCAAGCTTTCACACAGGTTTATCATATGGACGCTTCGTCTGTTAGAAATCTCTGCCGATATGTAATTTTAATTGCTTTCGATTTCCATTCCAATTCAAGTTTTACAGTTACGATTTTAATTACATTTGCGCAAACATTATTTCAGTTGATTTCGTCGGCGATTCAACGATGTCGTATGTCAGGGGAACTTTGTCGATTATCCGTCAGTCTGAAATCGTTTCCACTTGCCAATCCTCCTTTAGTTCGTATCTCTAGTACTTCGCTATCTTTGAATCTGTGTATATTAGTTTGAATTTAGCTTTAACTTACATAAATCTATATAATAACTTGGCTGATCATAGCATCATCGAACTTGCATTTTATAGATCGATTATTATACCTACGAGTTTGTCTTTCTCGTCATCTGTTTATTATCTCTTTTGTTATGATAATATTTTTGCTTTGATGTTTTTAACCATTAACTATGAAATCTAAGGTAGCCTGAGGAGTTTGTTTGGCTTCATGATATGACTAGTTTCTGACACGGGAGTTGGAAGCTGCTTGGAGGAGTTTCAGGATGTGAAGTATCTAAGTGATTCATCATTGAATCAGATACATGGTAAGAACTTAATTTGGCAGTATATAGAATTTCTAGATCTCTCAAAGAATATGTTACACTTGTAACTTGTTTACTGAAGATCATACTGAACATCATCATACCATTTTATTTTTAACCTAATATTATGAGAGTGTGAAAGGAAGTGATTGATTCTATCCATTTAGATCTACAAAGATCTCTGAACTATTGATACTTGCTACTTTTTAGAAAATCTAACATAAAATTTTGGAGATCTCTTCCAATCTGTTATATAATAATCAACTGATGAGCAGCTTTGCTATTCCATGCAGATGGAGTTATATCAATTGCCACTACCAGTCAGTATCATTCTTCTTGGATTACATTTGTTGATTTTAAATCTAAACCGTGCATTATTTGAGTGAGATTTATTTTGTCATCATTTGAACTTTACAGGAGTTTGCGATAATGAAATATTTCACTACAATATAGATCTTAAACAAAAAGATTGCACAAAAAGGCTAGCAACATTACCTCCAACCCCCAAAAATGGTGCAACATTCAGGCATGCTATTACTATTACTATTAGCAACAAGTCTTTTTAAGTTAGTTTAATTCCAAAACCATCCAGACATTCATTTCTTGATTGCTTTCTTCCAGTGGGACTGAAGTATCATTCTCAACATTTCATAGTATTGATGTTTTACTAGAAGACATTACTTGCTTTTTCCAGAAGGTTAGTTGTTTCATATCAACAATGCAATGACCCAATAATCTTTTATTCTTTTTGGCTACATCACCTAATATTTTTCTTTTTGTGCTCTGTTTGTATGATCAATTCTGCAGATGCTCATTATGAAGATTCCTGTAAGCATCAGTTCAAACTCATTATTATTTTCTTGAAAACATTGCTGTAACCATTGTTCATTCTTCAATCTGAAAACATTGCTGTAACCATTGTTCATTCTTCAATCTGAGTGACTCTACATTGTATTTTATTTATTTGTTTTTGTTTAATCAGAAGGTTGGAATTGAACTGATTGTGGACAAGGGAGAATTTCCTGAGCACCAATGTGCAAATGTTATAGTAGCAAACGAGTGCATTAATTTACCTTCAGAAGCAAATGCTGAATGCCTCAAGTCAGGCCTTGTGGATTATGTTCTCAAGCATGGGAATAAAAAAGATAGTATATGCCATTCTTGCTTTACAATCGAGTAAGTTATAAGTGGATAAGATCTAGTTAAGGTAACTGTGTTATTCAGATCACCTGATTATTATTGACCACACATTTTCACATCCTGTTGCATTAATGATTTTTTTGTTAGGGATCACTTGAAAGTAGGAAGTGGGAAGGTCTACAAAAGTTATAGGAATACTGAAACAACAGTAGAAGCTGTGGTTATAATCAGTGAATTATCAGAGACGATGGATCCATCCTGTTTCAGGTTGTGTGGTAGTAAAACCGAGGTCAGACCCCCCCCTCTCCTTTCTTCTATTTCCTAGAAGTTTTTATGACTACTTGCATTCCAGGTTTTATACTTCAATGATTTCAAACCTGGCATGACTTCTCAACCATTACTAAAAGCATTAAAAACCATGGATTGGAAAAGCTATGGACTAAGCATAAAATCCATATCAGATGAAGATGGTTGTGCTTTTATTGAATGGGACAATTTTCCACAAGATTGTCATATTGACATTGCTGTCCACTCTCTCCACAACAGATATCCATAAATTACATTTTTTTTTAATATTCTTTTTACCCTTTTGTATTCTTTTTGTTTGTATTTTCTTAATGTTTACCAAGCGTGTGAATGTTGATGGAAATCTTGTTAAGAAAGCTGTGAAGCTTGCATTGAATGACTTAAAGGAAAAGAATGCTGGAGTTCTTCTCAGTGCACATGCAGTTAAGGTACATTTAACCTTTTTTTTTAAACCAGAAAATATGCTTTTGTATAAGTAGGGTTAAAAATTAAAATGGTCGTTTAATGGTCTATGCGTGAGGAAAAGGTTAAAATTTCTGGAAGGGACCGAGTCTGTAATTTTTGAGAAACCACAGGGACTAAATTTGTAACACAGCTTGTTTGTTTGTTATATTAGATTCGCAGTTATGCTCCAGAGCTTGCGAAAACAATTGCAAGCCTGATTTCAAGCTCAAATGACTTGAAATTTAAAGGAGAATGTGCTTCTCTTCTTGGCCTACAGTCTTCTCATGATGATGCAGAATCAGAATCCATTGAAGATAACATTAAACAGAGGCTTACTTCAATTATAGACCACAATGACAGACAACCTCAGACTAATAAGAGAACCAGAGAGTCTGCACCTCTTCTTTTTAATGATGAATGCTTTCAGGAACCAGAATATGCTGAAGATGAGGAGGATGATGATGAGGTAAGCTTTTCTGCTTTTGATCTATAGAATAAGTAGATCTATGATTTCCATTATCAACTCTTCTTTTAATATAAAATACACCATAGTTTACGAGTTTTATGCCCCACATATACAAAGATTATTTGAAAAAAGGGCTGAATATATACAAGATATAACAATGGACTTTCATTTACTAGTGTTTTATAGCAGAAAATATACTGTACTCAATTATTATAATGTTTACGATTCAAGTTGATGCTAATTTGCTTCTCAAAAAAATTGTGCATCAAATTAGAGGTGGTAATGCTGTTCAATCTGTGTTATGTTTTATCTTATAATGGATAGTATTAATTTGGTAAAAAAAAATATTAGCTGGAAAAGAAAGGGATGAACCGACTAAAAAAGTGCAACATCAAATGGGTGCAGCTTCTTTTTTTCAACCAACTTCTTAAATTATTTTTATTCAAAGAAACAGATTATTGTAAGAATAAAGTTTGGGTAATCTTAAACACTAGTTTTTTAGACAAAGGTGTAAGCAGGCATTCAATTGGTTTTGATCCGTACCAAAAACTAGTCATTAGACTTGTCTAATCAATCTATTTTATGGTTTGACATACATTTCCCAACAGATACTTGTACGACATCATAAAATAATTTATGAGATTTTATAATACAATCGGTCAGCCGTTACAGTGCATACTTAATGCCTAACAAACTATTATGTTAATCAACTTAACCAAAGCCAATACATATAACAGTTCCAACGATAAACTTATCCCACACGAATCACAATCTAAGTTAAAATAACTTATTGATGAGCTCCATGGTTTTTAGAATTGATTCCAAGGCCTGAAATTCTAATTATATCCAATTGTCTAAAGAACCGAATCCATGTCATGATTTGATACGGCCTTAATTTTATAAGTCTTATTAAGCCCCATTATTTGAGTTTTTAGGTAACGAGTTTCATTAGTAATCGTCAATGAGAAAAAGACTACACACGTCGTTGATATGCGGACAAATCTGCATCCACACTTGGGAGTCGATTGTGCAGCGTGCAACTTGCTCTCACAATTTTATCACCACATTGGTGATTAATTAATTTTCTTTTAACAAAGCTTAATTGATTATTACTTAAATTTTAATGTTTTAAAGAAATAAATAATTTTACAATAAAATCTCGATTTTTTTTCAAATATAATTAATTGCAATAAAAAAAATATTTTCAATAAAGTATTTGGGTTGACTTGAATTGTTATTGGACCAACAAATACTGAAATTGTAATGTTTTTAGGCTGTTTAGTGTTTTTTTTTTTTTAAAAAAAAAAAAAATAGGGATATTTATAACATAGAGATTGTCTAAGCAAGCAACACAAAAGGCCATGCATCTATTAATTTTTAATTAAATACTTTTTTTTTGACAAACATAAATCTGACATTAATAAATCTGTGTTTAAAGTGATTAATCAAAACTCAAAAGTCAAAACCTAGAAACCAGACAAAAAACAGACAGACATATAATACCTTTAAAATACTTGCAGCAATCCAACCAAACATCGTATCATACATGTTCCATAACTGTCCTATATTTAAATGCAAAAATAAAATAATAATAATAAAAAAAAAGCCTTTTTAACATAATGTTTCATAACCTCTCGAACCTCTACATCACAGACAGAAGAACGAGAACACCAAAGTGACTGACCATACAAAAAGCAAAACTTGCCTGCCTCCTCAAAATACAATCACCTCCTCAGATCATGCCTGTTTATTATTAAACCACCCAAAAAATAACACATAATGTAAATATTGCACCATCACTATAATACATTAAAATAAAAAAAATAAAAGAGCACCCACAACATGACACGTTCATTTTTAATGACAGTTGCCAAAATGTCAAAAAAAAAATCGTTGTTTAAAGAAATGAATGTTTAAAACAAACTCCAGTGTTTCTCTGGTAAAGAAATAAATTATTTTATTAGAAAGAGGTTTAGAGTTTAGAGTTTAGAGTAGAGTAGTTTACCTTGTTAGCAATGTTGTTGGAGAGCCAGTCCAAACCCTCATAAAGTCCTTCCCCAGAAGTAGCACAGGTGCTCTGGATGTACCTGCAAACACAAATGAGCTTTTATTAAACTTATACAAAAAGAAAGAAAAAAAAAACATGTAATATATCATTTTATGCAATTATAACGTATTGACAAAAAAAGAGCATATGTGATTTTAGAGTCGATATAATAATAATAATAATATTAAAGATGCTGCAATTTATTTACCAGTGGCGTTGTCGGAGGGAGTGGAGGCCAAGCTTATCAGTGATTTCAGCAGCATTCATTGCATTTGGCAGATCTTGTTTGTTAGCAAATACAAGGAGAACTGCATCTCTTAGCTCATCCTACAATCAAATCAAATATCTTTCATTATAAACCATTATAAAGGTTTGATTTCTTGTAACAATTTTAATACCCATCAAGATACTTAAAAAAATAAAAATAAAAAACTCACTTCATTCAACATCCTGTGCAACTCATCTCTTGCCTCAACAACTCTATCCCTGTCATTGCTATCAACCACAAAGATAAGACCCTGTGTGTTCTGGAAATAGTGCCTCCATAGTGGACGAATCTGCACCATTCATTCAATTCATCATCATAAATAGAGATATGTGTGTATATATCGAGGTCAAAAATCTAGAAACATTTATTATACCTTGTCTTGACCCCCCACATCCCAAACTGTGAAGCTTATGTTTTTGTACTCAACAGTCTCCACATTAAATCCTGAAGAAAAAAACAACAATTAGTTGTTGATATTATTAATTAACACAAGGTTATAGTTGGGAATTATTTAATTAAAAAAAAAAAAAGACATACTATTACATATACATACCAATGGTAGGGATTGTTGTGACAATCTCGCCAAGCTTGAGCTTGTACAAAATGGTGGTCTTACCAGCTGCATCGAGACCCACCATCAATATACGCATCTCTTTCTTGGCAAACAACCGGCTGAAGAGTTTGGTGAATGTAAGCCCCATCTTTTATCTGATGAGGATCCCTACACAACACTAGATATATTCAGATTGTTTGTGATAAATGCAAGATGCTTCAGGGAAGAACTAGTTTCTAAATCATCATTCAACGTTGCAAAGGTTCCAGATTTAGGTCTAAACAAATACTATAAGACGCCATGAAGATTGAAGGAATGGGTCTTTCTATGAAGCCTATAATTTTCAGATCAGAGACATATGGCAGTTGCATTTTCAAACAGAAATCTGCTTAAGCAAATCATAGTTGATAGACGTGAAATGATAAAGCAAAAACAGATGGTTGTTCCTCCAGGGGAAACAAATCAATTGTATCAAAGTGCATGTTATTGTGGACGGATACTTCTGTTTAGTTCAATCAATTGAGATAATTAAACGGATCCCCAAGCACATCAAGTAAGAAAATAAGAGGAGCATAGAAATGTCACAAAATGCCGTTAAACATGTTGTGATCCAAAAAAATAACAGATCAAACTTGTAAAATCTAAATTACACACATGAAACCGACAATCGTCCAGATGAAACATAGCATGATAGATCTAATGAGAACGAACGACCACCACTGCATTGAAGCAAAAGCCTACCAACACAGAAGCAAAAGCTACGATCTAGATTCACTCTTTAACAAAATACTTAGTTATAATAAACAACGATGTTATACATATCAACCTCTCCAACCTAAAATATTCAGATCGGAAAACAATATCTTCAAACCTTCAAACAGAATTTAGAATGCGTAAATCGAGCCCTAATCCGATTAACGAAATCGCCAATTTAGAAGACAACACTCGTTAAAAAAAGTGGAATTTCAAGTAACTAAGAGAATTTCATCAAAAAAAAAAAAAAAAAAAAAAAACTCTCAATAGCAACAAAACAAAAATCAGAAACAAACTGTTGAATCGATTAGCACCATAAGATGATGACCTGCGATTAACAAACTCTGAATTCAACGTATAGGCGATTTGATCCGAGAGAGAATTGAGAAATGAGAACTGAGAAACGAAGATTCAGATTCAGATTCAGATTTAGATTTAGATTTGGAATTAGAGTTTACCTGAGGCTGAGAGAGAAGGTTTGTGGAGAGCGATCGATCGATCTAAAAGTGAGGGAGGGAGAGGAGAGGTAGAAAGAGAGGCTCGTAAAATAAGGAGGTGTGACGCGTCAACGGAGATGACTGACCATCAACAAATTTTCTCCTTTAATACCCAAACTGCCCTTTTCATCACCCCAAATGCCAAAAGCACAACCACATCGATTCCCAAATAACAAAAACTACATTTTCTAGGAATTCTTAAAAATCATCTTTTATCTTATTTTCCACACACAAAAATCATCAAAACAAATAAAACTTTAGTACCGATATTGTTAAAATATATCTTTTTTAGTACGAGTCAAGCAACACGTCAAAATAGATAGCCTTTATACACGTAGGATCGAGTTGGATTAAGTCGCAAACGTATCTTTTGTTGTTTAAATATTTGGATATTACTTATACAGTAACAAACTATGTTTTTTTGTATATATATTTGATAATTGTTTTTTTTTACATTATCTAGGATTTAATTACATGTGATATTCAAAATCTACCATTTTTTATTGGCAATAGCATGTTTAATTAATGATCTAAGATTTAATTGGTTTCTAACAAGTAACAAGTTTTTTTATAAGTAAATGAAGAAAGAACGCAAAGAGGGTCTTATCATGATGATCCACTTTTCTTTTTCTTTTTGTAGTATTACAATTAAGGTGGATCGTTGAAAATTTTATTCTATAATTAATATCAATAACATAATCATTTTTAATGTAATATCTTTGTCGGAATTTTTATTACATAGTTTAACATGTACAATGTACGAATATTCGTCTAGTATGTTCAATTGTTCATACATAGGTATCCACCTTTATAGGGGCCAACCTTCCTAATCTCTTTCTCTTATGCAAATTTTATTAGTAGTTTTCTTCATTATAGATTGAGATATTCTTCGATTTATAAGGGAATCAATTATTATCATTGTATACATTTGGTTATTGACATTTATTTTGTTCACAATTTACCATTAAAGTAACGCTTTTGTTCAAAAAACGCCATTAACTTTTTTTTATTGTTTTATTAAGCCTTTTTACAATTTTTTTTTGAACTTGTTTTATAGTTTTTAATAACATTTTTACACTTTAAAAATTAAAACTTTTTTTTTTACAGTTTTTTATAACTTATTGACAACTTTTTAAAATTTTTGTTTATATTTCTACTTACGTTTCCACGTTTAACTTATTTGTTTAGGTAAATTACTATTATATCGAAATAAATGTTTTTTATTAATATAAGTGCTATTAAAAGTTTCTAACCTTTTATACAACAAAATCTATCCTAATAAATAAAAATAATTTTGCTAAATGTCAATTTTTTATTAAATTTGATATATGTCATTTTCTTAGTTTAAAATTATTTTTTTCCACTTGTCATTTTTCTATTTTTTTTTCATTTTTATTCAACTTCCACATATTAAATGTCACCTCATAGTAATTAATGTGAATTAATGTATATAGTAAACATTCAATTTGTGAATTTATATTTAATTAGTTTTATTAGTATAGATTAATTAAAAAAATTACATAAATGATCCTTGTGGTTTATTCTATTTATTGTATTTATTTCCAAAGTTTACTTTAAAAAATATTTAGGGGTCGTTTGTTTCGTTGGATTCCTAAGGAATTTAAAGGAATTGTAACTAAAATCCAATACAAAATGTGTTTGGTTTACACAAGGAATGGAATATAATTTCCATAATTACTTTATAATTCCTTATATGAAAGATTTTCAATTCATTCCCCATGCATCAAGAATCTACATTCAATTGCTTATTTTATTATATTTTCTTTTTCGGATTGCACAATTATCCTTCCATGTAAGATTTTGGTAACAAATATCATCTACGTATTTTATATTTATTATATAATAAATGACTTGTTGCTTTATATTATGATATATAATAATTTTATTTCAATTTAAAAAATATTTTTATTATTTAATTGTGTTCAACGAAATGTTATTTATTTTTTTAATTTATATTTTATAGAATAGTTTAATAAAACATGTTGTAATTAAATAAAACTTTGTCTTGTTTATTAAAAAATATAAATGGTATTTCTGTCATATTATAAAATTTATTTTCTAATTTCTTTGTAAAATCAGCAAATTAAAAAACAGATTTCATTCATTGTTCTCCAAACGCATTTCAAATTCTAATACATTCAGATTCTAATTCCTTTGGATTCCAATTCTTTGGACAAATTCCATTCCTTCAAAAAACATTCTGCGAAACAAACGCCCCCTTAGTTTTTACACATTCATATTCAGCATGCTTTTTTAAAACATGATAATAATTTTTATTAGTATAGATTAAATTACTTATTCATCATTTTATTTATATTTATTTTAAAATTTTACTTTAAAAATACTTAATGTCTACACTTTATATTTAATTTTTTTAATTAATATACGTATCCCATGTTTTTTGGATAATTATCAACTATGCAGGTTATTTCAACATAACCAATCATTAATGGTGAAACAATCTTTTTGACATTTGAGACGAAAACATAATCATTTTCTGGAATCCTACACAATGAAAACAAGGATGATTATCATCTTCTTTTTTTTATCGTACAACTTCCATCATATATAAATCTATGACTTTTTTACCCAAATATATATTATAAGAACCTTTTTTCAAGTGATAAATTAGTGTAACACATTTTTATTACTTATTCATCTTACACTACAAAAACAGTATAATTTCTTGTTCAAGGTTTAGACATACTTATCCACCAAGCCATTAAGATCTTATGGGTATTGATCATTCTGGTATTGTTTGGAATAAAATGGAACCGAAAAAACTAAAAATACAACCGAAAACAATGTTCAAACAAAATGGTTCGATCCTAAATAACATACAAACTTTTGGTTTTATTCTTCGAAAAATATAACCATAAAACAACGTTCTTTAAAGTTTGAAAAATGAAATATCTTGAAGAAAAAAATGAGCCCGCCTCTTGTTCCGAACCAAATTATGAAACAAATTCTAATAAAAAATCCATTCAACTATAGCCGGTATCAGACTATTGATATTGTTTCGGTTCGTCAAATAAATTCATCATAAAGATGTGAAGTCGTAACATTTGGTGGCCATGATGAACATGTGCTTATCACGTGTGGGTGAAAATCACGGAGTTCTAACAATATTTTAAATATATAATATTTCCACTTTAATTAAATATCTTTTATGAAACTATGGATTTTAAGTGTTAAACTTTTATTCTTGGACAAAATTTTGGCATATGATCCAAAAAAGGTGAACCCAAGACAAATTCACCAAATGACCGCTTATAAACAAGATCATTAGTTTTTTTTTAACGATAAGCTAATTAACCTATTCTAAAATACCATTTATGTCTTCTAAGAGGCTTAAACTCATAATCTCTTATTTGAGAGAGTCATTTCTTACCGTTAAGCCAAAAGACTATTTGGTACGAAAATTGTTAGTTAGAAAATGAGTAAATTGGATAGGAAGTTGTCCAATAAATATTAAAGTGTTTACTATCTTTTATTTTGATGATATAGTATTTATGTAATATTAAATATATTAAATATTTATAAAATTGAAAAGGCACTAACGAGTCAACCCAACCTAGATTAAAATAACACCATACCAATCCACCCTGTCAATTTGCAAACACTTCTAATAATAGACACCAACCACAACATTGCGAAGAACTATTATTCCCTCCCATGATGGAATTAAAAAAATGATGGGATTCCTATTTTAATTGTTCTACAAAAAATCATTTATAAGGGTTAAAGTCTTATCACAACACCATAGAACCCAATCGTTTCATTATTTCTTATAAGAAAAACATTCTCGAAAACACAAAATTAATGCAAATTTTATGTGTCAAAAGTAAAAAAACTTTTAAAAAGGTGGAAAATTTTGATGATAAACTTTTTCTTCCTAACTTTGAAAGTACTTATGGATCAGTCTTTTTTTTTTTTTTTTCTATATACCCTTATATATATTTTTTGGTTATTTTTTTAACATCTATAAGCAGAACACAAAGCTAATCCAAACAACCACAATCTTTGATGTATTCAAATCATCTTAAGAAAGCATATCAATTTACACGATAACAGTCCAACATCATATAATGACAACAAAGAAAGATTTGTTTCTTCATGAACAAGAATACAATATAATAATATCAACAACTTAAAGCAATGGCCTCCAAAAGGGACCCCATAAACTTCATTTGTGTTTCCTCATTGATTCTTGAAAATGGAGGAACATGTACAAATAGAGATTTATGACCTTTCTCTTCTGCAAAACGGAGGGAATGATAGTACACATAGTTACACACAAAACGCCCTGCATCATCAGAGATCATTGCATCATAGCCCTTCATCTTTTTCAAGAATTCCAAAATCGCATCAATCGAGCAACCAGTCTTCAAAATCAACACACATTTCATTAGTAGTAAGCTCCATGTTCCTTAAAATGATTATTATATAGAAAATAGTCCAATACATATGATTATTACCTCTCGTATCCGAGTTATTCCTCCATCCTCTGTGACAATTGGAACCCTCTACAAACAAATGAAGTTAGGTATAAAAAATTAATTAAAATTTAATATTAAAAAGTAAATTTATTGATAAAAAAGAAGAACCTTGGGTTGCCAACCAAGCTCATCTGGACAAGAGAAGGTAGCTTCATTTACTGCTTGTCTTTCAATGGCAAAGTTTGATGCACCTCCATTCAACCCCATATGAAGCTTAAAAAACAAACAAGAGTTGATGAATATCAACTTGAGAACAATTGAATTTGCATAATTACATAGTGGGATGGATATTAATCTCACCCAAACAACTTCTTTGGATCCGAAATTGTTCTCATTTGAAACACTTGATTCCAGAACCTTCTGAAGTGTGGTCAACGCACCATCTCCAGCAGTTTCAAGAATAGTGCAGCTACCTAAAGAAACACCAAGGGGTAAACCTGTCTTTTCTGTATAACTTTGTAGATTTGAAACTAATGTTTTAGTAGGATTGGTAGCAAAAACATTGAACTTCTTGAAGCCAGTCACATGAATCACCACACTCTTTAGCGCTTCTGAACCCATTTCCTTCTCAAAATCAGAGCTTCAATCACCAAATCCTGGCTGATTTCCTGTATAGGAAGCAACAAATTTGCACCAAACATGATTAAAACTACTAACCCTAAAAAGGAAATAAAGTTAATAGCGGAAATGCTTATCGAGTTCATTCAATTTAATTTAATCAAAAAGCAATAATGCAAAAGCGAATTTATGATAAAAGCAACGTGATCATCTCCCAACCTAATAATTAACGCGCAATTATTCCAATCCGTAGATGATCCGAAATCCGATTGAAATACCTAAAAAGTAAAACCTAAACGGAATTGCTTAATGGTATCAAGCAGAATCAACTGAGGTGTAATCTAATATTAACCTCAACCACTTTTAAAAAACTTCTCAAAATGATTTGTGAAACACAAAGTCAATACGTTAACATTAAATCAGACGCTACAAAACTTTGTAAGAGTTCATGAATAATCAATAATCGCATCAAAACACTCACTCCAGTGCCAATTTTGAGTCAAATTAAATCCTCACATATATGATATACCTATATCAACATTAGAATCATATCCAAAATTAAGGCGAAACCAGAATTATTGATCATGGTATAAAGATATAGAGAGAATTACCACAATCATTGACAATCCACAAGCTCTCACTCTGATGGCCGAGAGAGAGAGAGAGAGAGAGAGAGAGCACTTTGGTGGACTTTTAAGTCGTTTTATAGCTAAAATATGGAAGACATGCTTCGATAAACACTAATGTTGTGATCCATTATATTAAGAGTAAATTTACAGATTTGGTCCCTGTGTTATGTTTAATCTAAGTTTTTTTTTTTTTTTTTTTTTTTTTTTTTTTTTTTTGTGTGTGTAAATTAGTTATTGTGGTTTTATTTTATCTACTAGGACCAAACCTAAAAGACAATATACAATATAACAATAACAATCAAAATTGTAATTTAAACATAATTTTGTTGTTATTTTCTAAATTCTAATTTATTTTATCCTTAACCATCTTAGAAATTATAATATTTCAAATATTAAATTGGTCATTATGGTTTGACACAATTCACACTATTGATCTTATTATAGATTTTGTAACATGGTTTGTCCTTGTGGTTTGCTTACCTTAACCAGTGGTCCTCATGCATATGAAAATGCCATGTTACCATTTTAATATGTTTTTCCTTTTCTTGTGAACAATTTATGTATTATATAAACACAAAACTAAATACATCACCCCTATTCCCCTTCTCTTTCTCTCCCCAGTTAATTTAGGAGCCCAAAGCCCCATTGTAACTGATTTCAATGGTTGATTCGAATATCAAATAGTATTTGGATCGAATGTTATATTGGAGTCTCTAAGCTTCAAAAAGCTCCAAGGTAACTTCATCTTGCCCTGAAGATTCGATCGTCAAGAAGATGGGAGTGAGTGTTGATTCTCTATTTTCACACAATCGGACGTGAAAGTTTGATCAGAAGCACCACCATTTTGTTCACTTATTAGTTTTAACCAGTAGTGGTGTCGGTGAATTAACTTGTTGAAAGTTGTTTGGATGTTAAAAACAAAGGATATTAGACAAGGTATGATAAATTATACCTTGAATACACAAAAATAATGGAGGCAAATAACTTGTTCTAGTCAATCTTGGATAACGATCTAGTCAAGCCTTGAATAAGAATATCAACCAAAGTATTCAATGCAAATGATTAAACAGTAAATAAGATGAAGTAAATGCACGAAGAATGTTTGAAAAAGAATGATTGATGTATATTTCACTTGTATATCTTTTGAAATGTAATATTGAATACAATGATTGACTTCTTTTTTATTGACAAACAACTAAGATAAGACAATGAGACAAATAAGGCAATGTAAATTGCAGATCAACAAATAGTACACTAACAAAAGATATATGTTGATATTGTCTCCTATATTGCAACATACTAAAATACAAAATAACATCAGACACATTTTCGGAATGAGCAACATCTCAGAATCATTACTAACTCGGAATGTAACGTCGCAAAAATATTAAGAAAAAACTTTATTTTTAATAAAGTAAAACTACTCATTTCACTCCATCAAAGATAATTAGAGTATAAAATGTATTCTCAAAACAAACATCAGAGTGCCATAAAACAGAAGTGCAAAATCTTCAGTGGATGCGATGCAATCATACCGGTCCATTTCCCTTGCTACAAGAAGTACCCGAAACATTTAAACTTTAAAACATAAGCACAAAGCTTCGTGAGTTTCCCCAAAATACCATATACCATACATAATAGTGGGGCTCGCCTTAGGGGTATATTTCAACCCATATACATGCTATGATCCCACCATAGTCTTAGGGGCACTTTTATTGCTACATCCCCACTACAGTCTTTCCTGTCATGGTCCCACCATGGTCTTCCATGCAAGTGTTTGATCCAACCAAAGTCTTTTATACAAGTGTTGTAATCCCACCACACTCTTTCATGCAAAATTCACACAGAAAATCTAGCATACATTGACACCTAGTGTCCTACATAGTATAGTGAGAAAACTCATTTGATCAAAGAGTTGTAATCCTCTGCTTGAAATCCCACAGAATCAGCTACACGAACCTCCTAAAATAATTACAAACTAAACCTTGATTTTTAACTCCAAACCTCTCCAAGTTTGAGAAAAAGTCAAACTGGTCTAAAAGTCAACAATGAAAGTCAAAGGCCAGCCACCACGTCATGGCCAACCATTTACCGCGTCGTGGCAACAACACGACAGAACAATCGCGAATGGAACCTATCGCCGCGCCGTGGCAATTTTCTCACCACGTCGTAACCTCGACCAATCCCAAATCGCGATGGATCTGCCCACCACACCACGGTCAGCACACAACCACATTGTGGAGGTGCCGACAGATCCAAAATTCATTAAGTCTTATTACGTTTAGTCCATCACTCCAACTTTCTAGAAGGCTTCTATGCACTCATATAATCCATAAAAATCCCAACTTTATGGACATGCATGGCATGCACTCGAGTTAGGTCAAAATGAATTAAATTGGGCCAAATTTCAATGCATGGCACCAAAACAACCCTAGGAGTCTAGATGTGGAACATATATTGCTATAGGGACCTTAAGCAATGATAGAGTTGAATCACAAATAGATGATATGGACAATGACTGTGAATCTCATAAACAGAGAACAACGTGATGTAACAAGTGTAGGTAGTTGTTCCTTACTACTTTCACCATTTTGTGTAAACTTTAATTTTTGTTTTCAATTTTTCCCATTTTAACTTTGTGTCCATCAAACTTCTTTTGATCATACGATTACATCGCTGAAGTAATCTAGCTTGAGAAAAAAGAGAATACATATATGTGACAACTAATTTAAATTAAAAAGTAAGTTGTTATAAATTGTTACTATGAATGAAATGAAAATATTAGCCTTATATGTGTGTATTAATACTAAGGGTTTGAGCTGTAAACGGACCAAATGAACACAAATGGATAAACGAAAGGATTTTTTTGTTCGTGTTCGTGCGTTTAACAAATTACATTGTTTATGTTCGTTCGTTTATGTACATGAATATGCTAAAACATAAACGAATGAACATAAATGAATAAAGATAAACAAACATAATTGAACATATACGAACATATAATATATTAATATAATCAAACATAATTAAACATATATGAACATAAAATAAACTTATATAAACGAACGTTCACGAACATAATTAAACGAATGAGACTATTGTTCATGTTCGTTCGTTTAAATAAACGAACAAGAATTTGTGTTCACGTTCGTTCATTTACCGAATAAACGAACATAAATGAACTTCGTGCATAACGGTTCACGATTAGTTCGATGAACGTTCAATTCGTTTATAGCTCTACTAAGAGTAAATTGATCAAAAGCGACAAAAATCTAAAAGTATTATTGTTATTACGTTTAATTATGTCAATCAAAGTCAAATAAGTCATTGAAAATGGGTTTGATTGAAACAATGTTAAAATGGAATAATAATAATAATAATAATAATAATAATAATAATAATAATAATAATTATTATTATTGAACTTTACACAAAAATTAAACAATGTTAAAATGTGAAGAATACATATAAGACTAAACGATGTAAAAAGTTCATATTATGCACTGGATTTTTGATGCTCGACAAAAAGAGAAGAACTTACAACTTAGGGGGTGTTTGAGTTATCTTTTTATTGGCAAAAGTTACAAAAAGACAGTATTTTCTAACGTTTCCAAAAATTTACTTTTCCTTATATAAAAAATAAAAAAGTAGCTTTTAAAATGGTTTTACTAAACATTTTTTATATTCTATTTTTTTCAAAAAAAAACTTTTAGCCCCTCAAAAAATAAGCCAAACACCCCCTTAACTTTTACAAAAAAATTTAGTTTGATATCCTAAAAAGCTATCAATTACATACTATATTTTCATACGTATTAATCATCATGTCAACATAATTTTATCAGACTATCCAAAAGCTAGAGAAGGCTAATTTAAGAAATAAGAAAGAAACATTGATCAATTCATCCAAGTATTCAAACCGATGAATCTTGGTAAGATTATGGAAATATATAAATATATGATTATAAGAATTTTTCTTTAAATACATAAAAAAATATGGCCTAAGTTTTGCGTTTAACCAGCACAAACACAGGAATATTAGGTTCAACCTTTCAAGCACCATACATATGAGAAATGAGTTGTCGGCCTAATCTTCTTATTACTTATTACTTAATTTTCTGTCCTTCTTTGAGGTGGGCAGGTAATGAAATCATACGATTTGGATTTTATTTATTTTTAAATCATTTAAAAAAGATATATCTTTTGTTATTAATAAGTTATTTTAATCAACTAAACTCTAAACATTCCGTACATATCATAGCATACCAAATTTTTTTTGACTATACTAAAGAAATTAAATTAAATCACCCATATCTCATATTTGATCGTTTCTCTATAAACAGACAGCAGTCACCCAAAGCGCTATGCTCGATAGAAACAAAGAATCTTTGCCATTGTTGTGATCCAATCAACGGGATAATTGTAATGATAGTTTGATATTATTTACTACTTTGAGCGTATATATAGAAATCATTTTCATTATCATAGGGGATCTTAAAGAAAAAAAAGAGTTTGTATCAAGTAAAATATATACTTCGACTTTCTTGTACTAGAACTTTAGCTCGTAAGCATAAAAGCACTGTACGTGCTTTTTTGAAAAGATTCGGCTCGAAATTATTAGAAAAATTCTTTACGGAAGAAGAACAAGTTTTTTCCTTAATCTTGTTTCTTCCATTTCGCGAAGGTTATCTAGAAGACGGATTTGGTATTTGGATATTATTTGTATCAATGATTTGGCCAATCATAAATGATTCGTTATGAAACCATCTAAATATAAATTTCATCACTATATAATATAACTAGTTTATAACCCGTGGGAACCACGGTTATAAAATTAATTAAACTTTTATAGTTAAAAACTCAAAATTATTAATCAATTATTTTAAATAAATTATTAATTAAGAAATGTTTTTATTAGTTATATGAAATTATAATCGTTGATTCAAATAAATATATAAAATTAATTTTTAATATATATTAGACATTTTTTATTTGTGAATTAATGAAAACAATAATATAAAATTTAAATTTAAAATTTAAAATTTAAAATTTAAAATAGAGAATAAATACATTGACAAATAACATCACATTAATGATGATGTCTAATAAATTTAAAATAGAGAACTAATAGATTGACAAGTATCAACACATTAATTAAGAGGTATAATATGATAACACATGACAAAAAAACTACTCTTTTATTAGTATAGATAAATAAATACTAAATAATCTAATAAATAATGTAAATAATGAAGAGCTAAGAAAAAAAATATTTATTTCTATTATGAAATGTTGATGTAGTGTTTAGTAAGAATGAAATCAAGTATTCAATCTTTTCTTGTCTAATGAAGGAACTGAGTTTTAGATGTATACAAAGGGAAAGTCGTGTGCAATGAAAATGCAAGCACGACTTGGGGAGGGATTTTTACTTATTTAACTTTAACAAGGAAATTGTCTACTCCATCCGACTAGTTCCGGGTTCGAATCTTAGGCAACCCATTGTCATAGTGAAATTCTATTATATGCATAGTGTATAGATTTTTTTTTTTTTGCAAACTGCTTTTGATTTACAAAAAATTAAACCAGATCCAGGTAGATATTGGTTGACACGGGCATATAAGTCATGTTATACTATTAAATAACAAGCCTTTAGTTTTCCATTTGAAAATTTGTGCATTTGGGAGTCCCTAATAATTAAGTAAACCAAGTTTTACCATGACTGCAATTTTAGAGAGATGTGAAAGAAAAAGCGTATGGGGTCGCTTCTGTAACTGGATAACCAACACCGAAAACCATCTTTACCTTGGATGGTTTGGTGTTTTAATGATCCCTACCTTATTAACCACAAATTCTGTATTTATTATCGCCTTTATTGCTGCTCCTCTGGTGGATATCGATGGTATTCGTGAACTTGTTTCTAGATCTCTACTTTATGGAAACAATATTATTTCACGTGCCATTATTCCTACTTCTGCAGCTATAGGTTTGCATTTTTACCTAATATGGAAAGCAACATTTGTTGATGAATGGTTATACAATGGTGGTCCTTATGAACTAATTGTTATATCCTTCTTACTTGGTGTAGCTTGTTACATGGGTCGTGAGTAGGAGCTTAGTTTCTGTGTGGGTATGCGACCTTGGATTGTTGTTGCATATTCAGCTCCTGTTGCAGTTGCGATTGCTGTTTTCTTAATCTACCCAATTAGTCAAGGAAGCTTTTCTGATGGTATACCTCTAGGAATTTCTAGTACTTTGAACTTCATGATTGTATTCTAGGCTGAGCACAACATCCTTATGAATCCATTTCACATGCTAGGCGTAGCCGGTGTATTCGACGGCTTCCTATTTAGTGTTATGCATGGTTCTTTGGTAACCTCTAGTTTAATCAGGGAATCCACAAAAAATGAATCTGCTAATGAAGGTTACAAATTCAGTCAAGAAGGAGAAACTTATAATATCGTAGCCTCCCATGGTTATTTTGGCCAATTGATCTTCCAATATGCTAGTTTCAACAACTCTCGTTCTTTACATTTATTCCTAGCTGCTTGGCCTGTAGTAGGTATCTGGGTCACTGCTTTAGGTATCAACACTATGGCTTTCAACCTAAATGGTTTCGATTTCAACCAATCGGTACTTGATAGTCAAGGTCGTGTAATTAATACTTGGGCTGATATCATTAACCGTGCTAACCTTGGTATGAAAGTTATTGTGATAACTCAAACTAAAAAAATTGTATAAATATATTTAAAATACTTGAGTACAATGGATGATTAGTTGTCTCAAGGAGAAGGGAAATGAATCTTTGGTTCTTTCTCTGGATAATTAATCGTTCCCCTAAATTATGTCATCGGGTGATATATTTGTTGTATGATTTATTGAAACTATATGATAAAACTGTTTTGTTTTTTTTATTGATGGACATATATGTGCAACACAAACTCATTAGGCCCTAGGCTTACCCATTTAGAAACTTTAAATGTGCGCAACCCAGGGAAGTATTTAACAAGTGACAGTAAGAAGGCTAGGGAGAAAGATTGATCAACAAGACGACAAAGGATTTCCGCAAAGACGTAACACCTGCAGCTCTTCGGTTGAAGACTTTATTTTATTTTATTTCGCTTCCGCTGTAGTTTAGTCTGTAAGTAAGTTCCTAATTGATCTTGGAAGATGTTGGAAAGATTATTTGTTATATAATCTGTATATGAAAATTGGGGTGTTACAAGTTGGTATTAGAGCGTGGTTTAAGCAGATTAGGTGTTTCCGTAAACACTTAAGCTTAGACGGAAGGAGCGAGAAGTAACCAAACAACTAATTTAGACCATATCTTACTAGTAGGCATCATATCCTCAAGGATATCAGGGAAGCTTACTTAGGTAACACTAGAGCGGGAAGACATTCCAATTTGGAGCCAATGTTTCTGCACCAGAAGAAGTACTAGAGACTCTTGTAAACCCTACTTGCAGTGTTGGCGCTGTTAGGGTCGTGGCAGAGGTAGGTGTAAGGGAAGAGGTCTAGGAGTCATCATAGCACTGATACGAGCACAATTGGTGAAATTGAGCTCTAACTCCAATCGAGGTCGTGGTCGGGGTCAAGATTGCGTACAAGGTCGTGCAACAAATATGGTTACGCGAGAATAATTAACTGACGAGATTGCTCAAGATATGCAAGCTACATTGTCGAATGTAAATGTTCAGGACCGAGATGCACTATAGAATGCGAACGGTGATAACATGGTTGATGAAGAAGGAGACTATGGATATGGTATGTCGCTACAATTTCTGACCCTAGTGCTGCACTACGATCACAGAAAGATGTAAACGACAAATGATGAGGTAATTGTTGCAAGACGTTCATGACTTGTAAACCACGAACATGTCGTGGGGACGCTGATCCTATCCTATCATCAACGTGGATAATAGAGATAGAGGAAACATTTGATTCCGATTAGTGTGCAAATAAGGACAATGTGGTTTATGTCGTGACGATGTTTAAAAATGAGGCTTTATATTGATGGGGAGGGTAAAAGAAGTTAGGGTGTCAGATACAATCAATAGGATGTCATGGGATGAGTGTGCCAGAATCTTTAGAGAGATGTTTTGTCCTCGAACGACGATCAAGCAATTGGAGGAAGAATTCTTGAGGATGGAACAAGGAAATGTGATAGTGAGAGAGTAAACCAACAAGGATGAAAGAATTTAATAGCAGTTGCAAGATCTGCTTGATAAGGCTTTTATTCGACATAGTACATTACCATGGGTGCACTAGTAGTGCTCGTCACGAAAAAAAAATAAGGGACAATATATATGCGCATGGATTACCAAAAGTCAAAGAAGGTGTAAGATCGTTACAAATTATGGAAGATTAACGTCGCCACTTATTCACTAAGTCGTATGTAAGGAAGGAACCAAGTAAGATTTATTTGATGAGGATTGATGTAACCTTCGGTGTATTGGGTGGACTAAAAGAGGAGTCGGAAGAATCCTCGGTAGAGGAGAAGTGGAAAGTTTTTTAGAATTGTTTTCCTAATATATGATGACACGTTTAATGAGGACATGAGTGTATGATAGCCGGGAACATAACGGGTGTGGTGTGACCGGAGGGAGATAGGAAATTGAGACGTTACTCATTTCCTTGGATATTTAAATGCTTGAGCACAACGGACGGGTTTTACCAAGTGGGAAGGGAAGCGGACCATTGGTTCTTTCTCTGGATATATAAAATACTCACTTAAACTGTGTCATCGGGTGAAATATACGTGACGGAAAAGTTAGTTAAGTTGTATGTTGATAAGATGGTTCAATTGTCTATTTATGACTAGAACCTTAATTTTATATCATCATTTTGGAAGAGTTTACAACGAGAAATGGATTATTTGTTCATGAAGTTAATGAATGTGGAGATATAACTCAGAAAGCACAATGAAAGTAAAGACATGTGATAACAAGACCAAATACCCTTATTTGTTTTTTTAGTTCAAATTCCGAGGACGAAATTTTTCGAAGGGGGGAAGTTTGTGATAACTCAAACTAAAAAAAAAATTGTATAAATATATATAATTTGACTATATTATTAAAATAATATAATGGGTGATTAAGTAGGAGTAAATAGAGAAATTATGGAATTTTAATTCCAAAACCCATCACTTTGATTAGTGTCATAAATTTGGACTTTTGGGTTAACTAGAAAGGGTACAAACTTGGGCATTATAAAAGACATGGGAAATAGGGTGTAATGCCCATAAAAAGTGCAAGAAAGGTTGGGGAAACAAAAGAGAAATTAGGGTTTGAAGTTCGTGAAGGTTTTCAAAGCTATTTTAGAAATTAAGGGTGCATGTCTGCAAGTAGTGTGACGACATCCGGTTAAGACTAACGCCATCAAGGTGAGTTTTTCGTGTTCTGTGGTTGCTCGCGCATAAATGTTTGTCATGCGTTTATTATGTTGTTTTTATTTATTTATTGACAATATGTTTTATGATAAGTATAGTTGCATACAAAATGTTATTTTGGATTTGTTATCTACAGTGCGTGTTTTTTTGGTGACATGTTTAGTGGGAACGGGTGGGTGTTTAATCGCTGTGAGCATGACGGATGTGTGTGATCGGCGGGGATGAGAATTGAGATTTATACTCATTTCCTTGGATATTTAAAATACTTGAGTACAATGGATGATTAGTTGTCTCAAGGAGAAGGGAAATGAATCTTTGGTTCTTTCTCTGGATAATTAATCGTTCCCCTAAATTATGTTATCGGGTGATATATTTGTTGTATGATTTATTGAAACTATATGATAAAACTGTTTTGTTTTTTTTATTGATGGACATATATGTGCAACACGAACTCATTAGGTCCTAGGCTTACCCATTTAGAAACTTTAAATGTGCGCAACCTAGGGAAGTATTTAACAAGTGGTAGTTGAAGGCTAGGGAGAAAGATTGATCAACAAGACGACAAAGGATTTCCGCAAAGACGTAACACCCGCAACTCTTCGGTTGAAGACTTTATTTTATTTTATTTTGTTTCCACTGTAGTTTAGTCTGTAAGTAAGTTCCTAATTGATATTGGGAGATGTTGGAAAGATTATTTGTTATATAATCTGTATATGAAAATTGGGGTGTTACAGTTATGCATGAACGTAATGCTCATAATTTCCCTCTAGACTTAGCTGCTATCGAAGCTTTATCTACAAATGGATAAAACTTTGGTCTTATTGCAATTTTATAGGAGTTTTTCAACTAAAAATTGAGCAATAACGCCATCTTGATAAAACAAGAGAGAAGTTATTGCTCATTTTTTTTATTTAGTAGTATTTGTCTTACATAGTTTCTTTAGAAATAAGAGGTCTTTTGTTTGGTTGGATTAACATGTTTTCTCTTTGTATTAATTTAGAGGTTAATATAGCCTTTTCCTAATGTTTTATGAGGTTTGATTTCCAATTGAATTTATATCTAAAATAGATAAAAATAAAAAATTTTATTATTTATTTTTTTGATTTCAGAAATAAGAAAGAAATAATATGCTCTTTTTTTTTATGTTAATAGAAATATATAGAAATAGTAGATAATAGTAGAGGGGCAGATGTAGCCAAGTGGATCAAGGCAGTGGCTTGTGAATCAACCATGCGCGGGTTTAATTTCCATCGTTCGCCTAAATTTAATTAATTTTTTAAATAAATTATTCGCTTCAAACGGATTATTTAAGTGAACGTGTCACAAATTCCTCCTACTTTTTTGTTTTGTAAAGATGAAAAAAGAAATTCTATTTTCTCTCCTATTTACTACGGCAACGAAGAATCAAATTATCACTATAGTTATTCCTTTTTCTACTTCTTTTTCCAAGTGCAGGATAACCCTAAAAGGTTGTGGGTTGTTTTCTATCAATTGGGGCCCTCCTTTCACCACCCCCTTGTGGATGGTCTACTGGGTTCACAACTACTCCTCTTACTACATGGCGCTTACCTAGCCAACGTTTAGATTCGACTCTACCCAAACTTTTCTGGTTCACCCCAACATTCCCTACTTGTCTGACTGTTGCTGAGCAGTTTTTGGATATCAAATGGACCTCCCTAGAAGGTAATTTTAATATGGTCGATTTCCCTTTTTTTTGCAATCAGTTTCGCTACAGTACCCGCTGCTCTACCTAATTGTCCACCTTTTCCAAGTGTGATTTATATGTTATGTATGGTCATGCCTAATGGATTTGTGCCCTCTAAAAAGATATTTGGAGAAGTAAATGTTAGTCGAGGAGAGGGATCATCTGAGAAGGAAGCATAACCAGACGAGACAATAGAATAAGTCGAGGAAAGAGTTTTGGTTTGGGGCCAATGGCTATATTATTATTTAGGAGGAGAAAGAAGAAAAAGAAAAATATTGAGCATAACGAAGACATTTCCGACAACTATTAGAGAAGGTTTTCAGAGGTGGACGGTGGTGGTTACGGGTTGTGGTCAGCAATAAAGTTTTAACCTAGAGGTCTGATACCATGTAAGATAAGAGAATAATAGATTGTTTGATTATAATGAGAATTTAAACTCATATAAATAGGAATAGAAAAATGTATCTTGGCCTAACCTAAACCCTAACGAGTATTGTGATGCTAATTATGCAAGTGACTTGAACATTTGTTAGGTAATTATATGTTACGTTTTCAAGCTTGGGTCAAGTGTGATATCTTGGTGTAGAAAATGATAGTCCCGTTGTGTATCTATATATGATTAAGATGAGTATCGAGCTCAAGCCATGA